GGCTGTTGTAGTGAGCGCCGTTAAATGCAGAGCAACGGTCGCGACATGCATTCTTCAGCTTCGTCCTCCTCCTCCTCCTCCTCCTCCTCATCCTCGTTCTGCTTCTCCTGCCCAACCACCCCTCTGGCCTTGTCCCACACACGGAAAGGTGCGCGAGTGTGTGTGGTGCGATGAGTGGGAGGCTGGTGGTAGATGCACCCAAGATAAGAGGCATTAAAAGCGCTTCTCCACACCATCACATGTACCTGCAATCCGCTTTGAGTAGTGAGATGTGGAGATAAGGAGAAATAAATTGGTGGAAGGGACAACTTCGATGGCGAATGTGGCTCGAACAACGGGTTTTGGAGTGCGTTGCCTCGCCTACCACCAATTTTTAGTCGCAAGATGCGCCTTCTTCGCATGTGAGTGCGTATCTCCATGAGAGCGCATCTTCTGACTGAACCACTCACCTTTCTTCCTCTCCCATCACGGATTCTGTAGTTGGACCTGCCATCTCATCAGGTTTGCAAGACATCCTGTACCGTCTTCAATTCTAACTGTGCATTCTTGTGACACTGCCTCGAGATTGCGCCTTCGTGTCTCGCAGTCGGTTGACACGCCAACTGTACAAGTCTGCCTCCCCTGCGTCCCTCATTTCGCCATCATTTAGTCACCTTCACATCGTGCTACACAAAGTGCGTTGCCATGCTCGTCTGCAGCTGCACTGCCTTGAAGACGACAAGTGAGACCTCCACACCCAACCCTACCATGCAACGCAAAATCCATCAACCACCTTATCATTGGGAGAAACAAATAGTCGTCCAATCTGTAGTCACCGCTTTGCCTCTCCAGACTTTGCCACTCAGCGTGCTCACTTGACTCACCATGGTGTGGCTCTTCTTGCGGTCATGTGTAGTGTTGGGTTGATTCTGCGTGATGGCTTTGGGTTTACCAACCACCAATGCCAAGTTGGACCTCCCACAGCAACGCGTCTCTCCTCCCTTCTTTGGCAGACTCGTGGAGAATGGTCTGTCCCTCCACCCCTGCCTCCTATGGCATTCCCTAATGGCCAAACTTTCTTACGTGCCATTTCTTCCCATGCATTTCTCTCCACCATCATTCCCCTCCTTGCCTCAACGAGTAACTCTCACCACCTCCTACTTATCTTGATTTGACACCTCCATAGTGCGTGACTGGCACTTCAAGTTAGGCCAATTGCTGTCACCACGTGGACACTCGAGTTTGAAGAGGCGAAAGGTGGGAGGCGTCGAGGACGAGATTGATTTGATGCCTCGCCTTCCTAGCTCGAGGCTGTTGCACTGCATCACGTGGGTAATGTGTGGTGGGGCGAAGCAGCCACAACTCTCAAATTCGTTTGATTTAATTAAGCAAGTGTGAGTGCGTTTGTCTCGCCAGTTTTGCCTCCTCCTCCTCCTCCTCCTCCTCCACTCAGTGCACTGCTGTGCGATTCAATCGAGTGCTCTTTTGCTTACTTCGTTGGCACTGCCACACAGGAGCAATAGCCGTCGTGAAGCTGATCATTCTCGCTCCTCCAGCACTCCACGCAACGCATGAGGGTAAAGGAGACTGGTGACGGTGAGGCGGGGAGTAGCCGTGCGTTGGAGAAGAAGAGGAAGAAGTGGCAGTGGGCGTCATTGACACAAGCATCGGTGACGAGTGGTGTTGGAGTGGTTGAAAGTAGAGGAGAATGAGGAGGAGGAGGAGGAGGACGAGATCAGCTTCAGAAGTGGATGGCGGTGGAGAGAGTTGCACTACTGACAGCGAAGCTGGTGCAGCCAATTGTCTACCTTGTTACTTGGCAGCAGCATCAGCCTGAAATCCGGTTTCGACACTTAACCACTTCCTTGTTGGACATCCTTCCATCTCAATTAGCGATTTGGTGAAGAAAAGTGATTCTGCCTCCACACCTATCTATTCCATTCTCCTCTTGCGCACGACACAATTGGATTTTCGTAAGGCATCAACGGCAGCACAATCCATTTTAGCTAAATGCGCCTCCACATTCACTGCCGCCACGCATCTCCCTTCCTCCACTTCGCCTCGCAGTATTGTCGAATAGCCTCGGATTATCAGTGGTGAATCGCCTGTGTGGAGTGGCGATGCTCATGCACTGGTGAAGAGCAGACGCATTCGTCACTCGTTGTTCCTCCAACAGAGCGCACTCTA